TCCTCCTCCTCCTCCTCCTCCTCCTCCTCTTCCTCCTCCTCCTCCTCCTCCTCCACCTCCTCCTCCGTCTCCTCCGTCTCCTCCGCTCCCCTCCTCCTCCTCCTCCTCCTCCTCTCCTCCTCCTCCTCCTCCTCCTCCTCCTCCTCCTTTCCTCCTCCTCCCCCTCCTCCTCTTCCTCCTCCTCCTCCTCCTCCTCCTCCTCCTCCTCCTCCTGCTCCCGTCTTCCCCTGCCCTCCCCGTGAGACTGTCAAGAATTGCGCCAGCCCGTCGGATATGTTCCACCAGCGCTCCAGCGGGCTGAGGAAGAACTGGCGGCGGTGCACCAACAGGCGAGCGACGAGCTCTATCAGGAAAATGAACGTGCAGAGGTGCTCCAATATCTCGAAGGCCTCTTCTTTCCCCATCTCCTCCAACTCATCATCATCATCGTCATCGTCATCTTCATCGTCATCGTCATCATGAGCATCATCATCAACATCATCAGCATCATCATCATCATCATCATCATCATCATCATCATCATCATCATCATCATCATCATCATCATCAGCATCATCATCATCATCATCGTCATAATCAGCATCAGCATCATCAACATCATCATAAAAATCACAATCATCATCATAATCCCCATCGTCATCATCCTGATTATCATCATCATCATCATCAGCATCATCATCATCATCATCATCATCATCATCATCACCATCATCATCACCATCACCATCACCATCACCATCATCATCATCGTCATAGTAATCGTCATCGCCATCGTCATCATCATCATCATCATCATCATCATCATCCTCATCATCATCATCAGCATCATCATCAGCAGCATCATCATCAAATGTCATCGTACCCATCATCATCACAACTATCAGCAGCATCATCACCATCAGCATCATCATCGTCATCAGTATCAGCGTCATCATCATCCTCATCATGTTCATATATGCATCGTCGTCACCATCATCACCAAGACCACCACCAGTGTCATCGTCATCATCATCATCATCATCATCATCATCATCGTCATCATCCGCATCATCATCATCACCAGTGAGATAAGCATCATCATCACCATCACAACCATCACCAGCCTCAACACCACCACCACCGCCACCATCAGCATCATCATCGCACTGATCATCCTCAGCATCATCATCACCAGCACCACCATCATCATCATCATCATCATCATCATCATCATCATCATCATCATCATCATCGTCATCAGCATCGTCGTAATGTTCATCATCAGCATCATCACCACCACCATCATCATCATCATCAGCAGCATCATCATTACCAGCATCATCATCATCAACATTATCAGCGTCAGCATCATCATTATCACCAGCATCAGCAACAGCATCAGCATTGGCATCAAAGTCATCAGCATCATCATCAGCATCATCATCAAGATGATTACCCGTATCTGCGTAATCGGCATCGTCATCGCCACCGGTACCACCATCATCATCAGCAGCAGCAGAAGAACTATGCTCACCATCATCACCATCATCATCACCCTCGTTGTCGCCGCGGTCGTCATCAGCGGCATCATAATTACAAACACCATAATCACCAACAGCAACAACATCCTCACCCTTCTTCCCTGCTTCCTCCCTATCATCCTCCCCAGTCCGCCATTCCGCCGCACGGCTGCTCGCCATCTCCTTCCTTGAACCCAAGACGGCGTCCAATTTGGCACCGGTGTCCGCATCACTCCCAGCACCCTGTCGACGCCGATGTTCGCTCCACGTAGGCCCATCTTGGCCTCTGATACTGACTCGTTGGGCTACATGGACGCCTCTTCGACTCAACCTCGCCAACAAGCTGGTCTCCTCGTAATAAATGCCAAACCGAATGTCGTGTGATGAGATGCGCCCTGGCCCAGGCCGCCCGGAGGCCTTCTTCTAACGATCGCTCGGCCTCTCAAGCCTGGCAGCTTCTGCGCCGTTCTGGATGCGAGGTGGCTTCGAATATCGTGGGCCCAACCTGGGCCCAACTGCGAGGACCAAACCGGCCCCACCGCGGGCCTGGATGGCATTCAGTCGGGAGCAGGCGAGGAGGAGGAGGAGGAGGAGGAGGAGGAGGAGGAAGAGGAGGGGGAGGAGAAGGAGGAGGAGGAGGAGGAGGGGGAGGGGAGGGGGAGGAGGGGAAGGAGGAGGAGGTCCGTAGCCATTTTGGCTCATGCCTTTCCGTAGGCCCCCCGCTCCTGGACCTTGTCCCCAGCTGACCCCTGCGACCCCAACCAGATCGGGGCAACGCTGGCGGGCGGGGGGGACTTGGGGGAGCGGGGTTTTCGGCTTATGGGCATGATGGCGCGGGAAGTGCTGCGTGGAGCAGCAGGTGCACGAGCTTCTGCAGACAACCTCATCGCGAAGCTGCAGAAGCAGATCCTTGGCCTGGAGCGCGAGCTTGCGGAGGCGCTGGAGACGATCGCCAGCCTTCGCCAGCCGCAAGGCGCAGGGAGTGCTGCAGAGGCCGAGGC